ATCGAGGGTTGGGCCACAGTGCACATGGCGTAACATCTTGAGGCTACGGGCTTCAAACATGACGAGATAGCAGAAATTCAAGATGGCAAGAGAGGAATAAAAGATGGGTATCAAAGGAAATTTGGATAAAAAGCCAACCATAAAAAGCCCCATTTATAGGGAGGTCAAAGTAACTGACAGCGCCATTACTGCCCTCGAAAAGCGTAACAGCAGGCGCAATCAATGCGTTCATAGAAGCTGAACCGATAGCAACGAAGATCGAAGAATCGCGACATTTTGGGTAATCTTGGAGAAGCGAAAAGGCGAGGCACCTCGACACCTGCAATAAGGGGGCTGCGCCGTCAGCGCGACGTTGTTATGAGGGATCGAAGAGTAGGGCATCAAAATCATTTCTTATCACTTCCCTCTAAGAAACGCGGAGACTATCTGTGCACGGTGAAATCTGGGAGGTTGATTTCTCCTCGACTGAATACCTCGAAGGGTGATCCCGGAAGCCCAGGATCTCGAGCCAGTCACTTCCCTCAAGATCGGCTGGTACCCTGCCAAGGATAATGTCGACCAAAGCCCCGACAAATGTAGGAATCTCCTGAGGAATGCACCCAGGGCCGATCGGGTCTATTCAAGCGGCTCGACATCAGCCCACACGTATATCACAAAGCTAGCCGGATGTCCCATCCTATTTCTTTTATCACGCAACATATCTTGTACTAAGTTTGGACTTCCCCTTTCTATAAAAGGGAAGTCGCTAACACCCTGTAAAGGCAGAGCTCAATCACTCTACTCAAGTGCAATAATATCTTCTCTCTCTTTCTCCTCTCTAACTCGCTTGCCCTCACTGGCTCGAAGCCATTTATCTTTTATTACCTTCTTGTCTGTTCTTTGTTTATCACTTGGTACTGGCCCGAAATCGCCTTAATGCCCATCATTCTCTTACTTGTTCTTCATTATATTGCTTAGTATTGGCTGTGAAGAGCCTTGTTTAGTTATATCCTCAACTGTTATCCCATCCCTGACTATCCCCGATAGCTCGAGCTCGACCCTGACGTCGACCCCGAAGTCCCCCATCGACCAGACCTATATTCGCACAGCAGGCCCCTCAGTTTGATTACTGTCTCGTTTTAGCTTGCATTCCATTATTAAACTTAATATTACTAGCATTAACTGTTTTAACAACTAGCTCGGGAATAGATCACGTATTTTTAGAATCCCATTTACAAATTTAATTGTAGTTACCATTTTCATGGTAAACACAACGTATACTTTCTAACTTTATTTATTTTTTTAAAAAGAGAGATTAGTTCTGCACTCGATGCTTCCACTGATCAAAGAACACAAGCATTTCTCCTCTTCTAATCATTCTCAAACCATTAAATCATGTTGGAACAGCTAACATAGGCAATCAAAGCCAAAAAACAGAGATGTAGAGGTCCATCAAGTATTAGTAGCCAACTCACACTGATAATAAAACAATAATGAGTCGCAAAGTTGCTGGAAAGTGAAGCTGAGAAGAAGATTAGGTAAAATTTGGGATAGAGATCATAAGTTCAGTCAGGGAGTACGCAAGAAATGTTATACTACTAATATGTTCACCTCCAAGCTTTGTCGATTGTAGTGGATTTCAGTATTTCGTCACAATTTTCAAGAGCGAGGAGTAAGTCCCCAAAGCTGCACTTGCAATGCCGATTACAATAATGTTGATGCTACAAACCATCTGAAAACGTCAAACATTGATGATCACCATTACTCAACATTACCCAAATTACATCACCTAGAATTAATAATCAAGAAAATATAAAACAGGAAATGATATGTTAATTCTCGTGTTCTTGTCATATTTCTGCAACTAGTACGCAAGCCCAAACGGTTTATGGCCAGAAAATGGAAATCAAGCCTAAAAATTTAATGCCAACAACGATACATCAATTACCTGTGTCCTTGTTGCTTTCTTTCCAATAATCTTTAGGAAACATAAAGCTGGCATTATTACAGCCTGAAAAGCAAAAAGATTCAGATATATTGACCATCATAAAATTGTGAGCAGAAGTAAAATAATAAGCGGAGATCTCCCGTCAAACATCTAACTATTCATGGTTTACTCATTCTACCCCAGGACTCTGGTTGCCTCTCTATTTGCACTAAATGGTTTTAAAGTCTGAAAACAGCTACTATCAGTTTTGGAAAGTGAATCAATGTGCTCAAACAGTCTAACTATTCATAGGTTGGCTAAACAGTTAGAGAAATATGAACTAAACAGCTCAACCTCTTAATTTGGAACTTTGACGGGAAAGTTCTATCTCGTCAAGCTCCATTATTTTGAATATTAGACCCATATCATCCATTGTATTTTTTTTGGAAGGGAGAGGCGAGGGCGACCGATTGGATGTAAAGAGGAATTTATCAAGATATTCTTGGTAAAAAGAAGAGATCTATCATAGCATCCGAGAAGCATAATGCTCAAATGAATTTGAGTTGACCTTTTAACCATTTGAAAAATCAATTAGAATTGCACCTACAGCTTCTGTCATTTGGCCCCAGGCCCCCAATAGAGTCTAAACCATTATTTAAAGGTACAATATATCGGGACCCCCTGAACTTGACCAATTTTATCCAGTTAACACCTAAATTTTAGGTTGGCCTAATTACCCACCTGAACTTTGGCAATCTGATAGTCTCGACCCCGCCAACGCTGATGTGGAAAGAGCGTGAATACACTCTCTTTTAGAGACGTGACAGGGAAGAAATTTGAAAAAGCTATAGAGAACTTTGTTATGAATGTGTGGAATTTTGTTACTAAACCTCAGATTCTGATTCATTCTGAGGGATATTGTATTTTCAAATTTCACACCATAGTTGATAGAGACCAAGTTCTTCAGTCAGGACCATACACATACAGGAACAAACCAATGGTGCTAAGGCTATGAGAAATTGATTTCTCACTTAACAGAGACATTCTAAGCACAGTGCCAGTTTGGGTGACATTTCCTGGGTTACCAGTAGGTTATTGGTCGACTGAGGCTCTAAGTAAAATAGCTAGTGTGGTGGGAAAGCCCCGATACACTAATAAATTCACGCTCATTATGAGAAGATATCCTATGCTAGGGTCCTAGTGGAGGTAGATGTTGCATATACTCTTCTAGACCAGATAGAAATAGAATCACCTTTTGGCCCAATGGTATGATTGGAGACCTGTATTTGTAATGATTGTCTGAAACTTGGTCATGATTTTATTGACTGTTGGCACAAAACAAATTGTAATGAGGAGGTGGATAACAAGGAAGGGGAAAGGCCAAGAAGACAGAGGAAAAGAGCAAAGAAGCCAACTAGAATTGTCAAGCAAACATGGCTGGTGAAGAAGCCAGAAGTGAGTGCTGGAACAAAACCAAAACCACAGAGGAAGGTAGTCCTACAAGGAGACCCTGCCCATGAGATTGAATGCACTGAGATGGGTAGAGAGAATATAGAGCATGTACAACAGAATACTTCTATGCCATGTCAGACAAAAGATGGGATTAGCATACAGGATAACATATGCTGCAATCCTGTGAATGAAGATGGCAATGATAAAGGGAAGGCAGCTGTTGAGACAAGGGATGATGGGAGAAGAGGACAACAAGAGGACCCAGGTCCATCATGCCCTTTAATTTCCAACTCTCTATGATCATTGTCACTTGGAACATTAGGGGTCTTAATCAGGCCCATAAACAGAAGAAGTTAAAACTGGCTAAAAATAAGGTAGATGTAATGGGGTGTATTGAAACAGAGTTAAAGAACATAAGGCTAAGAAAATACAAAAACGGATTGCTCAGGGGTGGAATGTTTACTGCAATTATCCTTATGTTGTAAATGGTAGAATTTGGATATTGAGGAAAGCACACATACAACTACAGATTATCCACACTACAGATCAAGTCATCCATTGCCTAGTGGAGGATACCATCACTTAAATTACAACACATCTCAGTATCATTTATGCTCAGAATGATAGCCATCGAAGGGAGACTCTATGAAGGGACCTTAAACAGATAAATATGTAGGCTCAGGAGACATGGCTACTTAGTGGAGATTTTAACAATGTGCTATCCTCTGAGGATAACAGGGTCCTCCGTAACTACTATTGAAACACAGGGATTCAAAGATGTGATTGATTTTCTACAGCTTACCCCTCTTAGAGCTAAAGGATGACATTTCACTTGGACAAACAAACAAGGTACTAGTTCAGGAGTATATAGCAAGATAGACTGGGCTTTGGGAAACTATCAGTGGATATAACAATCTGGTCATGCAGAGGCAAATTTTTTGAATCCATCAGTCTCTGATCACTCCCTTATACTAATCAAATGTGGTCGACAAAAGTTATTACATCCTAAACCATTTAGACTATACACAAATGTCATGGAACTTCCACAATTCCAGAATATTATTCAGCATGCTTGGAGTCAGAATTATGATGGCACACTTGTGCAGCAGATCTGGTGCAAGTTGAAGACTATGAAGACACAGTTGAGAGACTCTAATGCCTATATGGCTTCATACAAATAAAAACTTTAGCAGGCAAGAGAAAAATTGGATATTGTTCAAAACCAAATTCAGCAGGAACCTTTGGCATAGAACCTATTTGATTTAAAGAAAGACACACTAACTGACATTGAGAAATGGAGCAATATTGAGGAACATGTGATGAGACAGAAGTCAAAGGCTTGCTGGATTGAATGTGGTCATGCCAATACAAAGTATTTTCATGCTCAATGGAAGATTAAATCCAGTCAGAATAGTATAACATCCATATACACTGATACAGGAATAAAGATAACAGATCCCAAATTGATTGAGCAGGAATTCATCAGAGTGTTTCAATCCTTGATGGGAGATTGTGCTACTGAAATGCCTTGTGCAAATACAACTATAATCAAGGAAGGACCATGCTTAACTATATCACAACAAAGAGATTTAATCCATGAAGTTACAAATGAGGAGATCACTGTTGCAGTATGAGAGATACCTAAAGACAAAGTACCAGGGGTTGATGGTTTTCCTGTGGAATTCTTTACTAGGAACTGGAATATAGTGAAGGACATCGTTGCAGCTGTGAAGAACTTCTTTTCTACCAGTAGCCTGCCTGGAATGATCAACACGACAGCCATCACATTAGTACCTAAAGTTTCAGCACCTTCAATAGTTAAGGACTATAGGCATATTGCATGTCGTACCACATTGTATAAGATTATATCTAAAGTCATTTAAAAAAGAATCAAATCTGTTCTTGATGGGTTGATTGGTCACTCTCAATCAGCATTCACTGAAGGGAGGTGTATTATTGATAACATACTACTAAGTCATGAACCGTTTAAAGGATACTCCAGAAAAGATATCTCTCCTAGATGTGTGCTGAAGGTAGATCTGAGGAAAGCCTATGATACTTTGGAATGAGATTTTCTCAGAAGAATGCTTATTGACCTTGGTCCCTTCAAGTTTGTGCAGTAGATAATGACATTTGTTACTACAGTGTCATATTCCTTGGTACTAAAAGGAGGACTGACCAAGCCTTTCAAAGGAAAAAGGGGATTAGACAAGGAGACCCAATATCTCCATACTTATTTGTTACTGCAATGGAGTATATGGGAAGAGAACTAGGACAATTGCATAAGAATGGAGATTTCAACTTTCATCTTAGGTGCAGGAAGTTAAATACTACACATATATGTTTTGTTGACGACCTCCTGATGTATTGCAGAGCTGATTTTGAGTCTATCAAGATCCTAAATGCAACCTTTCACAAGTTCTCAGTTGTCTCTGGCTTGCAGGCAAATGTAGACAAAAGTGTTATATACATGGTTGGAATCTCAACAACTGAGAAGCAGGAAATCTTTGCAACATTGGGTTTTACTGAAGGAAAGCTTCATTTCAAATACTTAAGGATCCCTTTAGATTCTAAGAAGCTAGCAGTTCACCAATATTTACCTCTTATTGAGAAGATAACTGCAATGGTCACATGCTGGTCAGCTAAACTTCTATCTTATGCTGGCAGATGTCAACTGATCAAGGCTGTTATCTTTGGCATTCAAACCTATTAGGCATAGATTTTTGTTCTTCCAAAGAAGGTTATGAAAGCAATTGAGGCAATATGCAGAACTTTCCTATGGACTGATACTACTACTATCTCAAAGAAAGCACTGGTGGCTTGGGAAAAGGTGTGCAGGCTAACAGCTGCTGGAGGACTCAATATACTAGACATAAAGCTGTGGAACAAAGCAGCAATTATAAAACATCTGTGAGATATAACAAGAAGGGACTGCTTATGGATAATGTGGGTGTATAGTTTCTATATAAAAAATAGGAATCTGGAAAAAATGGCCACATCTAACTCTGCATCTTGGGTGGTGAGGAAGAGACTAGATAGCAAAAGTTTGATTATGGAGCATCAACAACTCCAAGGAAACATTCATAACAGACTACAGACAATGTGCACTAATACAAAGTTCCAGATTAAGTAGATGTACTTGAAACTGATACCAGTATACCCCAGAGCTGAATGGAAAAGTTTGATGTTGCACACAAATATACATCCAAGATATAGATTCACCATATGGCTTGCAGCACAACATAGACTAGCTATAGTGGAAAGACTGTTGAAGATTGGTATCCAAATTCCTGCAGCCTGTGCATTTTGTTGACATAGCCTGGAATCCTTTAGCCACTTGTTCTTTGAGTGCACCATCACAAAGCAAATATGGTCCAGACTATGTTCATGGCTGGGATATAATAGGAGCATTGGAGATTGGAAAACAGAGTTGGAATGGGCATGCAAGAAAGTCAAGAGCAGAAGAGGAACAAATGTTATTACTAGCTGTGTGTTTGCCATGATTGTTGCACTGATTTGGAGGGAGAGGAACATAATCAGATTTGAATAAGCTAAGTTTGATGATCTCCAAATCTGCAGAGAGATAGTACTACACATACATATCAGAGGGAAGAATATAGTCAAGTGGAAAGAAGCATTGCAGCAGTTGAAATGGATTCAATAGATAAGTAGAATTAAAAGTAGAAATCCTTGTTATAGTTGGTTTTAAACAAGTGTCTGTATTGAAATATAGTTTAGGATAGATAGACAAAAAATTGATAGTAACAGATTGTGATGTATATTGGGAGCAACCTGCCAAAGCCGCTCCTTGGACTTAACTGTCCATATTTTTTGAGTATCAATAGAATACAACGTTAACTCAAAAAAAAAAAAATCAAATACAATGACTTAATTGTTCCAACTATATTTCTCCTTATTTCTTCTTAATATACATATCGTATTGTATCCCAACTATGGTTTTTTCCCTTTTCAGATATAATGACTATTTGTTCCAACTGTGTATTTCTTTTTCAAGCCAAATATGCAAAACTTAGTTGAAGCTCCATTATGTTAGCCAAATAAAAGAAGACTTAGCCAAAGTAACGGAGTTCTAATGGTGCATTTTTTAGAGAAGAAAAAGTTTATGTATTTGTTCTCTTCATCAATGACTATGTATATCAACTGTATGTTTATTCTTTTTTGGGTCAAATTTATAAAATATTTGGTTAAATTTCATTATGTTTAGCCAAAAAAGTCTTTTATCCAAAGTAACGGAGTTCTAATTGTGGATTTGGTCCGTTTTCCAAGTACTTCCGAGTAGCGCGTAAGGCGCACGCGGCAGCGATAAAGCAGTAACAACTAGCAGCAATGGCTACACGTGGATAGTGGGTAATCAACATCGTCTGATTCTGCAGCAATGCCTCGACACCCCAATTATATTCTAGGTTCTTTTCTTCTAGAGTTGGTACCTCCGGTCATTCAGTCGATTTTTTTGGTCTCCCTTTCTTGTTAGTAAATTATTGCTCTAGATAAGGCATAGTGCTTGCAAGCTTACATGATTTGAGCTTGTATGTTCATCAAGAACTCCCATGTCCAGAAGATAAAAGTAGCAGAAATAAGAATGTTGAAATGAATGTGCGGGCATATTAAAATTGATAAGATTAGGAATAAAGATACGAACATGGTAGAGGACAAGATGCGAAAAACGAGACTTAGATGGTTTAGGCATGTGAAGAAGAGAAACGCAGATGTCCCAGTGAGAAGCTGTGAGAAATTGACCTTTGTGGATCTGAAGAGAGGTAGAGATAAACCAAAGAAGTACTGGGGCGAGGTGATTAGACATGATTTTATGTTGTTTCAACTTACTGAAGACATAACCATTGATAGGAAGGTGTAGAGGTCGAAACTTAGGGTAGAAGGTTAGTAGGTAGTCGAAAGTGTTTCTTCCCCATACCTGTAGTATTAGTGGTTAGTCTTGTATTCTATTATTGTTAGATCTCTATTACTAAATTTTGCTCCTTTCGCTTTGTTTTCTTATTATCCTATTGTTGTTATTACTTGTTGCTACTACTTTCTTTTCATCTTTTCTTAAGCAGGTCGTCTATCAAAAACAGCTCCTCTACCCTCAAGGTAGGAGTAAGGTCTGCAGACATACTAACCTCCCCAGACCCCACTTGTGATATTATACTAGGTTTGTTGTTACTGATGTTGTTAGATGCCATGATTATTTGTTCTAAGAGTATATTTTTCTACTTTCTGGGCAAATATTTAAATATAACTTAATTAGAATATCATTATCTTTAGCCAAATAAACAATTATACCCAAAATAATCTTGTTCCACGTTTTTTTTTCCTTCAGATTTTGTCCGAAAAAGATGATCCAAATAATTTGTGTATTTAAAAGGGTAAAAATATATATTGTATCTTTAAAAACGACACGTGAACAAAAAAAATCCACATGGCAGTGCGTGTGTCACACTTTCATGGGTTGTCAGTTCCAGGAGGTCGAGCCTATCAAATAGCCAAGTTCAACGGGGTATAGGCCATAAAATATTGGTGTGAACTGAATAAAAAGTCGTCAAGTTCAGGGGAGCCCCAATATATTCTGCATTATTCAACATTGTACTAATCTGATTATGAGAAATATAATTATCAAAGAAGATAGTTCTACCAATACGTTTCCAGAAGCATAAGGATCAAACCAAAGAAAAATATCAGGAAGATAAAATAGCCAAGTACAGAGAGGAAAAATGGGTTGCACTAAATAGGTAATCAGCTTTTCATAATTGACAGCTTAATGGCTTGCATATCAAAGAAAAAGTTATTATCTGTAATATTAAAAAAAACAATAAGTTCAAGATATAGCCAAGTACAGCGAGGAAAAATAGGTTTCACTAAATAGGTAATAAACTTTTGATAATTGAAAGCAAGTTTTGATGGTTTGTGTCGAAGACATAATTAAGTAAATAAAAATGTGTTCTCTCTAACAGCTTAAACTTTTAGATGAGATAGTCACACACTTCATCAGTTTGCATATCCAAGAAAAGATTATCAGTCTGTGATATAAAAAACAATAAGTTCCGGATCCAATAAAACTGGAAACGAGCTTACCACCAGTATACTGAGAAGAGAACCAATCAGAGCCATCACAAGACCTGCAACAAAAGTGATTTATGACTGTATAACTAGAAATTGTCTCATAGATTTATTTAATCAACCAAACATCCCTAAGGTGAAGCTTCTTGCTTGATGCACATATTCGGTGCTTTAGGAATGCAATTTAGAGAGGAAGAACATTGTCACAGCTTAAACTCTGCAGTTTGCTTTCTCTCTTCGAATGATCCAGGTATGGACGGATTTAAAATGGTACAAGCACAATCAGAAACATCTAAACAAACCATTCTGGAAGTTAAGGAGATACATTTGCTTACTTATACATGAAAACCACGCCAGCTATTTCAGGGGTTGATATCAAACAAAACTTTTTTACACCTCCATCTTTAAGTCGTCATTATCATATGTTTCATAATTCTTACGCATTTCGTTAACCAGCAATCAATGTCTTCATGTTTTCAGCAAAATGGTAAAGCACCCGGACCAGAAGGCTTCATACAGCTAATCTTACTAATACATGCTCTAATATATATATATATATATTAATATATATATATATGACCTCTTTTGCTAATTATCCAAGAATTATCACACAAACTAAAGCAAGTGGCAGCAGTAATATTTGCAACCAGAAAAGCTTCTGGCTCAAGAGAGACTTAGTGAATTCATTAAATTTTGATGTTAGAAGAAGAACGCATCAATTAAAAGTTGACTCAGATGTACTATATTGTTCGAGATTACCTTCTTTTTCTCTATCTTTTCTTAGCAGAGGTAATATCAGATTAGGCAGGGTTGTGGTGCCCTAATAGAAACTTAGTCTTCTAAGAGAGTTGGTGATAGATGAACATGCAACACGCAGAATTAAAATAAGATGGCTGAAATGGAGGAGCACCAGGGAATGTTGTGTAATAAAAGATACCTAACAAAGTGAAAAGTAGGCAAGTTCAATAGAGTGATTGCGACCCCAACAATGTTATACCGGACTGAATACTTAGCTCCTAAGATGTAAAAGATTGTATGGCATAGAAATGCATATGTTGAGATAGATGTTTAGTTACACAAGACTGAAGAAAGGATTCGTGTTGACCAATATAAAACTTAGCTAACAACAAAACACAATGAAACAGAGGATTCATAACAATGCTACCATTCACGTGGATTAAGGTTTTATTCTTGTCTGATTTACATTTGATCCAGTGTTTGCCAAGAGTCTCTAGAATTCAGCTAGACTTGCATGTCATTGTAGGGATAAGTGTGCCATTGGAGAACCTCTAGTTTTATAAAACTAATTTTCCTTAAAAGACAAACTTTTGGTATGGAAATAAGCTGGGCCGGCATAAGGCGGAAGTGATGCAGAAGATTCAAAAAGCCTATAGGGTTCCAGATTATATGTATAAAGAATAAGTACTGATAGGAGAATAGCATTTAGTGAACTAAAATGAGATTAGAAATTTAAAGTTAAAGATCGTAGCTGAAAGATAATGTTACGTACCAAAAAAGGGAATTAGAAATGCAACGCACAGGGTAGAAAAGACAAGCACTGTCCTTAGGAGAATAAAACACAAGAAACTACTAGAGATTCTTGGAGGCAGCAATTCCTCTATGCTTCTTCCCAAAGGATTCATCAGCAATGCATATCTGTGCAAGTGCAAACTTTAAGGAAAGCAGAAGGATATGCAAAGTTCTTCTCTTTTGTGTACTTAAGACATGCAATCTAAAATCTCTACTGATATTTCCGAGTGTAAAAGGATACTTCGTGAATGGGTTGATAACCTGCACGGTAGAGCAAGAATAAAGATAAAAATTAATGATTGCCAAATAAGATTCAGGAATATTTTGAAGGGAAAACAGAAAGCATACATACAGTGGTCCATACTGCTATTCTTGAAGCGATTGAATCCTCAGGCATATTTAAAGTAATCTGAGACAATGTGCTTTGACCAAACATGAGATACCCCATTATTGCAACACCTCCATATATTAGAATACACAGAATAAAGCTGCATAACAAGAAGGTGTTGGTCATTAACGGACCATTGAGGAAAATGCATAAAACTATTCAATAGTAGAAAACCATACCATATAGCTACTGCGTCATTGAATTTTGATTTGTCAGCCATAGATTGGTAGATGTTTGGGAAGACTGAGTGCCCAGAGAAGCAAAAGCCATATACCCCAATAGCAAAAGGAATCCCACTCCAGTTCAGAACCCGATTGGTATTATGAAATCCGACTCCATCCACTGTACCAAGGAAAAGCACACACAGAGCAATTATTATAGTCGCAAGGACCCCGCAGGCTGCAAATACATCAATAAGATTCTCAGATGATGGTTGAAAACCATCCATGCCAAGAGTACTGCTGTTTGAAGCAACGTCAGCGCTTTATGTTGGTCAAAAGAGCACCTGAGAGGTATGATATTACACGAAGGTCCCTCAACCAAACAGTTGGCAGAACAACTAGGGCAGTCAGGATCCCAAAGAAGTGAGTCGAATCAAGTTTAAGGCCCTCCCAGTTTAGTGAAGTTCCGGGAAAAAGAGTAGTAAGGTTATCTCCTTCCAAAATTATATATTCTACACAATATGACTGCATTGGTGGAACACATGTTAGAGGTCTGATGTTAAGGAGTCTAGGTGAACAATGAAACTACAGGGTCTAAACCCAATCTTCACTTACATAGAGCTCAATGTACAAGATAATCTGCAAAGAAATAGAAGAACAGCATCAGAAAATTGTCAGGAAGACGAACAATCTATAACGAGCAATCAATTTTTTCCTTTGTCCCTGTAAGCATAAATCAGCTTACTCATATTTTCAGCCAGTAACTTTATATTTAAGCCAAAAAGAAGTTTGGTATTGTTCCACGTTGGCATCATGAAATAAAAATTCCCCCAGCAAATCACAATATGTCCATCCAACTGAAAAACTATATGCTAGCAGTTCAGAAAGCTACATTTACTGGGTCCAAATTACTAACATTTGTTCCCACTCCATGAACTGCATTCATCTAACATGAAGTAACATTTTTAACTAACAGCTGGAAGCATTCTATTTTCGCCCGGACAATGTCATGATAAAAGGTTTTATAGGAACAGAACCAAATGAAAGTCACATAGTGGAGTTGGTACTTGGTAGGGATAAAAGTGGACATTGCTGTTACCGACAAGCTTTTTGGAGTATCCAACTACTAGCTTGAATCCGCCAGTAATTTCTTTTTATCCTAATTTATCCAAGTAGGTGAAAGGGAAACAGAATGTGGTTGATGATAGAGGAAAAGTGGAAAGAAGAAGGCAAAACTGGTGACTTCCTGACAGGAAGGCGCCCTTTGGTAGTTTTAGAAGAAGGATTGGTAGGAAACTAGGTGAAAGAAACCATGGGCACATCCTAAACACATAAAATAGTTAATTGTCATTCTACTAATTTGTGGTTAATTACTAAACAAAGGGTAAACAATTAACCTAAACAAGCAATGAAGAAAATCAGGGAAAGATTTAGTCCCACTTAAAAAAGATGACAGGGGGACTACATTATTAGGATACAAAGGGAGGGGCTATTAGAGTTAAATCTTAAAATTACTCATCCACAAGATTTCCATAGCTGAAACTTGGAACTGATTGCACATAGGATCAAGGCATCAAACAACTGTAGATTAAACTTCTGAAACTTGGAACTGATTGCGCATAGGATCAAGCAACTACAGATTAAACTAACTCACAGATATAATAACGCGTCCAAATTTTCCAAATGCAGCTTCTCCAATATCGGGATAGGTTGTGATTCCTTCCCTGCTCTTGAAGCAATGACTCATAAGAGAAGCTGTGTACCAACATATAACTGCAAAAATTACCAACACTAACAAACTAGCCCAACCAGCTTCTTTCACTGTATAAGGAGTAGAGAGCAGTCCAACTCCAGCCATGACATTGACACCTAAAACAGATAAAAAGAGATTATCTCAGATTATCACTTATTAGCAGATTCAGCACTTCTGATTTCAAAATCCTAAGATCTCCCTCCTAGGTAGATTTTCAGGTATAGCCCATAGTAAAGCTATTCACTGGAAGTTGTTTCATCCTGCTCGTTCAGATTGTCAAAGATACTAAATTACTGAACAACATTAAGGTTTTTCTTACCATTGAATATAGTCTGAGTTAAGCTGCATCCATAGGAAATTGGTAATTCCCCAACCAGTTGTTCATGCAATGAAGAAGCCTTCTCTGACCAAGATGCCTTTGCCACTGAGATTCCATCCACGACATTTTGCTCCTGAACTTTTTCCTTTTCAGCGAGTAAATGTGTCTTCACATCCGAGCCTAAGAACTCTCTACTATCGACTTCAGATATAATACTGGATCCAAGTCGTCGGAGTCCGAAACTTGGTGATGCGGCAATCGTATATGAGTCAATTGTCTCTCTGTTATCATACATACGAACAGCATAAGAAACTTTTTCTCTCCCATTCTTCTAATCAGAGTAAACATCTGATATAAAGATAAACCTTTTTCATNAAAAAAAATCCAAAAACAAAAAGAAAAAAAATCTGGGAGCCTATGTTTGCTTCTCCCACTTCTCTCTTGATGAATCATTGGCTCGAAATTTCAACCTCAGAACGGCCCTCTCTATTAGGCTATCCCTCCCGTGTGTCAATACTCTCAAACACACCCTTAATTGCACAACTTGCAAATTTGGCCTCACATCCCAAACCCTTTTCAACCTTTTCAAAACATAATTTCCAAAAGTACTTCACATGCGGCGTCGAGACAATAACATCTGAGCTTTATTCTAATCACCGATGTCCCATCCTACATCATCCAGCCCATATATCGCCACACCAATACAAGCGACCTCCTCAGGTCAGAATAAATTCTTTGGAAGGGAAAAACAGGAGGTTCTAACATATAATGGTGAGTATGGTCCCAAGAACTAATCCTCAGTTTTTCCAATTTCCAAATCTCTCTGTTATGTAAACCCACCACTCACGCAAAGTAGCTCGTTAACCTTAACCAATTAGATATTTTTTCTTCTAACATGCCAAATATTTTTTATACTATTGACTCAAACAAGATGCTAATAAGGAATTCTAATCAAGGACTAAAATGCACAGCTGAAGCATAATATCAGTCAGGTAGAAAAAAGGAAGCTGAGCCAAGCAACTGAAATTGAAAAAAGAAAGGGAGGGGGGTAATTCCAGTCGTTACCATGTTGAAGTGTATTTATGTGTCGTCTAAAAACTAAGGTTGATAGAAAGCAACAATTTTATCTTCTATTTATCTAAACAAGTTCCTACAACATAACATAGGATTCTCATTAAATCCTTTTTTCCCTTTTACAGTTATCCAAAATTGACACCCAATGTTTGGTCCATAAAACTGAAACACAAACTATAAGACACCGGTGCTTGAATGGAACATAAGCAATAAAGTGATTTGTTCCCTAATCATTGTGGACAAGTTATGGGAACTGAAGTGAAGTGAAGTATTAACCTGAAACTTTGGGGCCATTGCTGAGAAGAAAATGGTGATATTTGACCCTCCTCATCAGCAGTTTCTTCATCATCATCACTCATAGTAAGGCTATCGCTACTTGGATTGGCTTCCACATCATCTGATAAGTATTCTGATAATTCTTCAGACTTCTTTGCCATGGTTATTTCCAATCAGATGCAAACCCAAACAGACACCTGCAAGTATATATATATGGGCTCTGCAAAGACATGATTGAATACGTTCTTGAGATTTCCAGAACCATCGCATTTCTTTATTTGGAAAGAAATGATGAATCATCGGCCAAACTGACGAATAAGAAGCAAGGGAGATGTATATCCTTCTGACTCGAGAAGGGAAACTAATAAGAGAGAGACAGAGAATCGGAGCACAAAGGTCCCCCAACTATATCAAACTCGTTCTTCTCTTGTCGTTTTCTTGTTTCTTTCTTTTTTTTCCCCTTTTAATTTGGGGATAAAGAATGGAGTATCCAACAACAACAACCCACCTAGTATAATTCAGAGAGGATGGTGCATATGCAAACCTTACCCCTATTACGGGGCAGAAACGCTGTGTCCAACACCTTTCCTCCAAAAACTTACCACCTTGCTCTTCGAGTGATTCCAACTCACGACCTCTTGTTGGAAGTGGATAAAAATGGAATATATGAAAGGAAAAAGTAAGTTGAAAAGTCAAATATATATATATATATATCTATATATATATATATATATGGAAAATTTCAGAAATGACTACCTTTTAATCCATTGCATATTTATATTTTGTAGTTAGCTTTGGATAATTCGTTGTATTTGAGTGTATTTGAATACACTGTTCAATTGTATTTTTTTATTTAGTTTTTCACGTGTATTTGAGTATACAATTCAATTGTATCCAACATTATTTGATGTCGCAAGATTGAACGTATTTGAATGTACTAGTCTTAATGTACAATGAATATAAATTTATAAAAATTACATAGATATTATTGACAAATATTTGAATTATTAAATAAAAATTATAAAAAAATCCAAATTCCTGAAAAACAATGATGAATGTTAATCACATTTATCTAACTCAATAGAAGAAGATCTCAACTCTTCAAATACCTTAGTATTTGAACTTTCATTAGGGATAGATTAAGATTCTCACGCCATTCTTTCTACGTAAATTCGGTCATTATCATGATAAAGAGATTCTATATGCTAATAAACGTTGTTACTTCCTTTAGCTCAATATTAATGGATAATATCAACATCCATATATCGACACTATGAGAAACTACAAAATTCAATGAAACACTTTTGAAAGATATCTTATTAATATTTATTTTTTAAAAAAACTTGAAATAGCTAAGATTTTAACATTAAAAACCTTAAATATTTAAAATTTTAGCAATATGAAAATAGCCGTGAGATTCTGAATATGATTTCTACACAATTCGCTTTAAGTTTTCGTCTCTTGGTATCTTGAAGTGGAACACTTCTAATATCACCTGATTTATTATTATTATTGTGGGTGAAATAATAATACCTAATAAGTAATCTTACTAGAATGACATTCCCAAAAAATTAGGAGTTCCTATATAGTTCAAATAAGAAAAAAATTAATAGTCAAACATTAGTTAATTTCAATATCACAAGTATTAGAAAATATTAATTAAATGATAATTTTGTATTATGTAAAATTTGTTTTAAAATGATAAAATAATCAATCAATTTTACTTTGAAATTTTGGGCTTTTATAGTATTCTAGATTGATTGAAGAAGACAAAATTAATAGAAAAGTGGAACATTAATTTCTTTTATATTTAGTAGTTTTTAATTTTAGTCTCACATTATTTATCACATAATTAAAATAAATTAATTTAATTTGTTGCAAATATTAAATGAATTAAAAAATTTCTTAAAAAGTTACTCACTGATATTAAAAAAGTATTTTGTTCACCATAAATACAATTTGATTACCATTAGAATTTTACAATTTAATTTGTTGCAAATATTAAATGAATTAAAATTTTACTTAAAAAATTACTCACTGATATTAAAAAGTTATTTTGTTCACCATAAATACAATTTGATTACCATTAAGTTTTCACTTTCCAAAGGCCATGTACAAATCAAACGAACTCTATAAATTTTGAATTACTGTTCCAAATAATTGACTTTTTAAGCATTTATTTAAGGTAATATTTTAATCGATTTTAAAGTCCTAAATTTTAGGTATCTAGTGTAAAAAAAGAAAGATTTAATAAAGAAATTTCAACGAATTTATAGGTCCTAAATATTAGAAAATAATTAAATGACTACTTCATCTAGTATGAACTCTATTTTTAAAGGGTAAAAATGGCGAACAATATTTTACTAAGGGACTTCATACTTTNATATATATATATATATATATATATATATATATATATATATATACACACACACACACACACACTAAAAATGACGAAATGAATAATACAGTCAAATTCGGTCAAATCTCCGGCGAAAATACAAAATACACTATATTTAGAAAAAAAGAATACAATCATACCCCATCGGATCTCGGACAAAATATAAAATACCATTGTATTTACACTAAAAATGAAGAATACATTCAAATCCTTTTAAAAATACAATGTATTTACACTAAAAATGAAGAATACAGTCAACTCCGGTCAAATCTCCAACGAGAATACAAAATATACTATATTTAAAAATAGAAAATACAATAAAATACCGAGGATCTCCGGGCGAAAATATAAACTACACTTTAGATCTCTCACGAAATATAAAATATATTGTATTTATACAATAATTTTCCACCGTGAAAGGCAGTGGAGGAGAAAGAGGCGGCTCCTATTTCGGCGTAAAAAGAAGTGTTGGAAGAATGAGTTTTCGGCCAAACGAATACACTCATATGTGAGATACAAATAAGGAGTGTTGATACCCAATTTTGTTCTGTATATTTTTATATGAAAATTACCTTTCAAATAGCATATGTATGTATATATAAGTATGTCCAAGGGTTTTCTTATTTTTTCATTAATTTTTAAAGATTTTTAGATCAATTTATTGCCCTATTTTATCAAGAAAAACCCAATAATTACTCCCAAAATTATTATTTTGGCAATTCACTTATTAGATTCTTATATTTATACTAAAATATAGCTAAAATAATTTTTGCATAATTTTACAAATTTATTTAGTATTTTTAAAAGCTAAATTGCATATAATTACAATATTAGCCTATTTTAAGATTTTAATTGTGTTTATAATTACAAAATTGACTCCAGTATTTTTATTTTTATAATTATATATTATTAATCATTTTAGTACCTTTAAATTATTTTCAGAAATTATTTTACTATTTTTTATAAAATAAATAAGGGAAAATGACTATTTAAATGATAGCCATTTGTATTTCAATTTTGGCCTGATTAAGCACCCCTAATTGAACCCAATTTCAGATTCCATTACCCAGCCCAAATCTTAAATTTACCCAACCCACGACCCTCTTAATAACCCGCCCGGATCCCCTTTTTCAATCCCAGCCGTTGATCATTTAGATCAACGGCTCATACTCACGCTTTCCTTTTTAATTTCCCAATACCCCCAAACCCTAATCATTTCTCACCGATACCCGCCCCTGGATTCACCCTCTCCCAAATTCTCTATCATAAACCCTAGCTGCCTCCCTCCACTTCCACCCTAAAACCACCGGAATCCATGGCTTACAAAGCCATAGAAGTCCTATACCGGCCTCTTATAACTCTTACACGTTTGGTTACTGAAGTTTCAAGGCCTGACCACGAAGAAGCTTGGCCTAGAGCTTGTTAGATTCGAGTTCTATGGCCACCTCCGGCCTTGCTCCGGCAAGCCATAGCTATTCGAGCCTGATCTCGACTTCTCCTGCTCAAATCAACGACTCTCCAAGCCTTTCTCACCATCTGGTTTCTTCTGAAACCCTAACTTTTGAGGTTCTTCTGATTTCTTTAGATCTATTCTAGATCCGTGTTTTCCCTAAACTTTTAAACGGTTTCTCAAGATTTCTTTCAACAAACTATGCTTTCAAAACCTTTATCTTTCCGATTTAGGGTTTTTGTTAATTTATTTAGATGTTTCTCTGATTTTCTTTTTCTCTTGTGTGTTTCTTCTACTATGTTTCTTATTAGTTTCTTCTATTGTGATTTTTATGTGTCTCTCTTAGTGTGTTCTTACGAGTTCTTCTACTGTGTCTTCCTATGTGTTTCTTCTACTATGTTCTTATGAGTTCTTCTACTGTGTTTCGTATATTGTCCTTTTACAATGTTTCTCATGAGTTTCTTCTACCGAAAGATGCATGTTAAAGGTCTCAGTTCTTTTTTGAAATCTTTGAACTTGTTTGATTTCAAAAGAAAAAAAGCCATAACTTCTTTGAACCTATTTCGAGTTTCTAAAGTTATCTCATCTACTACACGATTAGGCTTCCAAAGCTTTGTTTCGACCTTTGTTTCTTTATATGGTTCTGATTCCCTGTTAAACTCTTCTAAGGTCTTTCTATGGACCCTTTGTATGCTATTTGATACTCTCTCTCTTCTACATTGCTGAGTTACTAAGACTGGCCTATGTGACTACCATGTTCCTATAGTCTACTACTTACTGATTTTGCAATTGCATGACATTTTTCTTTGTCCTAAATTCAGCCTCGCATACTTGTGTGCTCTTTATATGTGTTGAACTTCCCTCTAAAATGGCTTTCAATTTTTGATTAATTTCAGACTTTCTTTGTGTAAGCCTGATTGATTTCTTTCCTTGTTTGCTGATTTTCCTATTACTTGGTCGAAAACTTTCCTTAGCCTTTCTGACTTGGTTTATTCATGGACCAGTAATTACAAATCTCTGACTCCTTGATTTACTATGTACTAATTGATTTTTACCTTATTTATTTAATTGTGTATTTCAAAATTCTTCCCTTAAGTAAACTCCTATGTATCTACCCCTAATTGCCTACTTTGCACAAGATGCTTACTTGATCCCTTTCCTTAAATAATTTTGTTCATTACCGTTTAAGTTTAAACTCTTTAATTAAAGGAAGTCTCATACTAATTGATTTTAATTGATACCCAGTTCCTTAGTTATTTTCTTACCTTCTTTCCGCCAGTTTTCACACTATAAATACCTGCTCTTCATTGACACCAACACTCATAGTCTTTCTGAACTTATACCCATACTCAAAAGTATTTTCTCTTGCTACTTGTACTATGGCCTATTTTCAAGTCATGCTGCCTGCTTTTCTCTATTTCCTTCTTTAAAAAACTGCTATGTCCTGATTTAAAGTTTTCAGCACCACAATAATATGTTTATTTACTACCTTTGTATATATGTCTGCCTACTGCTTTTGTATAGTTCAACACTTACTCTAGCATGCTGAAATTT